GGGTCATGTGATTGTTGGGTTTTTCTCTGCATGTATTATCGTAGGTCTACCTTACAATATAAAGCGCCTGCTGTTGTGATCGTTGCTATAGAAACAAAACTGGATTGGAGTGATCTGGCTGTGTGAACGTTTCCTGCTCTTTGACCTCCTCAGATGATTTCCATGACTTTTGAAGCAGACGTGTCTCTCTGTGGTTAAACTGTGTGAAACATGGGTCCAGCTGCCTCGTCAGGAACTCACCGTGCGATGTCGTAAACCCGATCGGCCACTCGACTCCCGACCTGCAAACCAACAGCACAGGACGTCTGATCAGCGTGGCTGGGTCTGGTTGTTATAATGAAATCATTTTTAGACAAAACAACAGGAACAACGTGTGATTCATTCAGTGAGGTCATCACTGATGGTGGCGTCAAACCCAGCTGCAAATTCTGATCTCATTCTCTATGATCCAGATGTTTGATGAGGCTGAGGACCAGCTGAAGATGGACATAAGAGGGACCGCTCAGGGTCAGAGAGGCTGACCTGGTCTGAGCGTGTGCAGAGGGAGGGTGGAGGATGAAGATGGAGCTGCAGGGAGGCGGAGAGGAGGAAGACGAGGACATTTGTGGTGCACGTCAGTCAGGACATCTCTAATTACATATGCGTAACTACACCCGTGCAGAGCACACAGGAAACTCTGTTGATGAACTGTTATTTCATTTTCTGTGGAAAAACAAAATTGACCACAATTCTAACAATGGTGGCTTAAATTTGATAGATTTCAGTTCCCTAAATGATGCTTTCAAAAAAGTGGAGTAAAAGCATCTATCTGGACTTCCTCTCATCACGTGTTTTCACATTTGGGTGGCTGGACTCAAACTTTCATCAGCAGACTCTTGGATCTGTAAACATCACTGTTCTCCACAAAGATGTTATATTTGGAACATCTGTAACATCTTTACGAGAATAAATCGCCCTTCTTTGAAAACTGGTTTAATGATGGTATTCTTCAATAACACTGGCTCTTCCTTCCAGGTGTAACATCCCAGTGCCCCCACACCTGTCCAAGCCCCGCCCTGTCCTGACAGAGTCTCCTTCAGCTCAGATGTGTTTCTCCTCTTGTAGATTAGGTCTCTTTATCTTTGTTCCTCCTCCCATTTCTTTCTGGACTCATGTTGTCCTCCTTACTAACAAAGTGAAGGAGATTTCATTTAAGCTCATCCATCACGTTAAAGCTTCCTTCAAAAACAGAAGAGCGATACAGAAACATTTGCCTTTACTCAGCTTTTATGGAAACATATCGTTAGTTTCATCTCTGGCATCTTTAGTGAGAAAGGCTCTCGTGCTTTTCCCTCATCGATCAAACTCCACATCTGTAAATGTAAGCTGTCCACTCTCAGGACAGAAACAGAAAGTTTGTTCCTGTCTCAACAAGAAAGCTTTGAAAACATGAATATTTGTAATATTTTAATGTCTTATTTAATTATTCAGTGTGTCTGAGTCACTTTCCCCGTTTAATCTGTATTTCTGTCCGGTGTGTTTACTTATACATACTCTTGCACTGTGTTATGATTTGGAATACAGTTTGTGCAGCGTGTTCTCCGTGTGTTGTGTTTGTTGTTAAAGTTTCTGTTGAAATAAAGTTGGAGAAACAAAGACACAGGTGTGTGGGTCGGGCTCACCTCCTGCCTCAGGTAGTCGTACTGCTGGCTGTCCTGCAGCTGGGCGGCCCAGTCCTTCTGCCTCTGCTTCATCTCCCTGCTGAACACGTTCATGCGGCCTCCGCCCGACAGCCCGGAGCGCCCGGTCCCCGGTGGCCCGGTCCCGTTGAGACCGCCCCCGGAGAGCCGGCTCCAGCCGCCCGCGGAGCTCGCAGGGCAGCCGAGCCGCAGGAGCCTCCGACACAGCCTGCCGCTCATCCCGCGGAACAAACTCACAGACACCAACACGGAGACTTCCGAGCCTCCACACCGGGTCACCTCCGAGGGGAGAGACCCAAAACCCGGACCGGCCTCAGCTGAGCTCACCGGAAACCCCGGAAACGGATCACAGCCTGAGAACGGAAGTAAAATTGAATAAAATAAGATTAAAATAAAATGACTTAAATTTAAAATATATATATATATATAAACAATACAGTGATAATTAAATTAATAATTTAATTTAACAAAATAAATTAAATTAATAAAATAATTTGCGTTTGTTGTTTGCTGCGTCACTCTCTGTGTTTAAACCGCGTTTCGCTCCTGTTTGTCCCTCTTCGCTCGCCTTAGAGAAAGGGGCGGGGTGGAGCAGACGATGCTACAGCGTTGCATGCTGGGTAAACACGTGTGTGAGATCGCAGAGGAGCGGACACTGTGTCGGTAAAGTTTCACCAGTTTCTAAGTTTAATTTAAAGCTCGCGTTGTTTCAGGTGTTTCTAGCGTAGACGTGCTGTTTCCGGTCATCTCAAGTGTTTCCTGTGCTCTCAGCTATTTCCGGTGTCTCCAGGTTGTAAACATGAAAACAGAAAGCCAGGCTGAGGTGTGCGGTGCAAACTGAGCCATGATTTCAAACCTGATCCTCTTTAAAACCTCCAAAAGTTTCAGAGGATGAAACAGACAAGAGCACAGAGAACGATTCAAAACCATCAGATCAATAATAACGGTGAGATCGATAAGAACCATCAGATCAATAATAACGGTGAGATCGATAAGAACCGTCAGATCAATAATAACGGTGAGATCGATAAGAACCATCAGATCAATAATAACGGTGAGATCGATAAGAACCGTCTCGGCGCTGCAGTCTGAGCTCATCGCGGCTCAACGACACTGATACCTGTGAGGTCATCACCGGTTCGCACACGTCTGTGATGACAGTGAGAAATAAAGGGCGTGTTTACACGCCGCTGACCTCTCATGACCTCAGCTGGACCTCAGCTCCTGCCTCCTCGGCGATCACAGCCTGGAAGCCTGGAGCCTGTCCCAGCGCTCACACGGCGAGAGGCGGGTCCACCCGGGCAGGTCGCCGGTCTGTCAGCCGGCACCTGTAAACGCAGCATGTAGCAGGAAGCTGGAGAACTCAGAGGGAACCCAGGCAGGAGCCGGGACAACCAGCAGGTTCTAACCCAGAGCTGTGAGGCAGCCGTTCCGTCCACTGGACCGGCCTGCTGCACAGACTGTCTCCACACTGCTCCTGCACGGGGGGACAGAGTGGGTGTTTGGGGACAAACTGTGGTCGGCCTGGAGCTCGGAGGAGGCAGGAGCGAGTCCAGCGGAGGTCATGAAGAAGGACTGGCGCTGTACACACTGACACCACAGAGTTCATGTTGTCCACCACTGCACGTTTCTTTGCTCCGTGTCATTGTTGTTGGCATTAAAATCATGTTTTAAAACGTGAGCGTTTTTAATTCTACGACCTCATGAGTCCTGCACGAGCTGGTGATTGTAGTAATGAGGATTACCGAATGACCCTGAATGCCACACGTGTGTCCATCACGAGGCTCGGGGTTGGGTTTGACGTCCGAGCAGAAACCAGCTCGGTGTGAAACGTGGTTTTTAACTGGTTTCTGTTCTGCAGGTGACGCTGGGGTTTTACCGCCATGTCGTCCAAAAAACGCCCAGACGGGGACGAGCGCTTCCTCCGGGTCCAGAAGGACCCGCGGTTCTGGGAGATGCCAGAGAGGGAGCGCAAAGTCAAGATCGACAAACGCTTTCAGTCCATGTTCCACAACGAGCGCTTCAAGGTCAAGTACACTGTGGACAAGCGAGGGCGGCCCATCAACCACACCTCCGCTGAGGACCTGAAGCGCTTCTACAAACTGTGCGACTCCGAGGAGGAGGAAGCTGGCGAGGAAGCAGCAGAGGTGAAGGAGGAGGACGTTGGCGGCGCCAAAGCAGAGCAGCCTAAAGGAGCAGCGAGTCTCTCTGAAGGTCAGGAGATGTTTTCATGTTAATGAACTTCCGGTAAAAACACGCCGTTACCATAGTAACACTGTATGGATGATTGAAGGGTGTCCAGGTGACCTTTGACCCTGCTCAGGTAAGCGTGTCAGAAACGATTTGACCGTCTCTCTTCTGTTCGATGCTGATGCAGGTGATGAAGATCATGACGAGCAGCGGTCTGCAGAGGAGGATGAAGATGACCTAAGCGTCTCTGATGAGGAGGAGGCGGCGCGGAGTGACGAGGCGAGTGGATCTGATGAAGAGGAGTCGGGCCTGGATTCGGGGGACGACAGCGACAGCGGGCCGGATCTGGCCCGGGGGAAGGGCAACATCGAGACGAGCTCGGACGAAGACGACGAGGACGACGTGGGCGCCATCCTGAGGAAAGAGGAAGAGGAGATCGAACACGACTGGGGGGAGCTGTGCAAAGACGCGCCGCGGAGCGACGAGGTGATGCTGCGTGCGGTAAAGGCTGAAGGTCAAAGGTTAGTCTGCGCCACCGGGAAACGTTGCTAACACGATCTCACCGCGTCAGGTGTCGGCGCGGCTCGCCGTCTGCAACATGGACTGGGACCGGCTGAAGGCCCGAGACCTGCTGGCTCTGCTCCAATCCTTCACGCCCAAAGGCGGCGCCGTGCTCTCTGTGAAGGTAAGGAGACCTGCGTGGGTTTGTCTGTGTGTGGGCGGAGCCGGGAAGTGCTGATGATCAGCACAGTGCGTGCTGGGTTATGCTTGCAGATCTACCCGTCAGAGTTTGGGGAGGAGAGGCTGAAGGCGGAGGAGAGTCAGGGACCGATGGAGCTGAAGGCGCTGCCCGACGACTCGGAGGACGACACGGAGGAGGAGAGGTAATGATGATGTCACAGAGAGGCGGGATTTAGATGCAGTTTTCAGCCAGACTTTGTTAGTCGAGCAGCTCGTGGGAAGGTTTGTGTCACGAGGCTGCGTCGGCTCTGACGGTTCGGCGCCGGCGGGACGTTTGTTGGCTTTTCAACATAAAAGGTGGATTACATGAATATGCAGGCCACTTCATTAGGTACACCCTGCACTCTTAATTCTTCATGCATCAGATTCAACATCTGCTGGAGTGACATCACCATGACATCATCGCACAGGTGCTGTAGTGAGTGCAGCAAACTCATCGTGGTGTTCTAGAAACCGTCTGAGATGACCTGAGCTTTGCTGGAGCAGCGCTCCACGCCATCACAGCGGCGCCTCTGCTAGCGTTTCACCCAGGGAGCCGCTGCTCGCTGCAGATCAGCAGAAACACAACCCTGACACGTTCATGGTCTCTGAAACCTCCTTTCTTCATCAGTCGGGTCCTCAGTTTAAACTTCAGCATGTCTGCATGCGCTGAGCTGCTGCCCTGTGATTGGCTGATCAGGTATTTGCATTAACGAGCAGATGCACAGGTGTACCTAATGAAGTGGCTGTAACTGTAACCTTATTGCTTTGAAACAAGCTGCATTTGGACACCAGTGATTCTGTGTACACTTAAAAGCCGCTGTGCAGTAACAGGTGGGCGGGGCTCCCTGCTGACCTGTCAGACGGTCATGGGTGTTGTGTGCTCTCAGGGTTTACAGGGAGAAGCTGCGGGACTACCAGTTCAAGCGTCTGAAGTATTTCTACGCCGTGGCGGAGTGCGACTCGGCCCAGACGGCGGCAAAGATCTACGAGGAGTGCGACGGCTACGAGTACGAGAGCAGCTGCTCCGTCCTCGACCTGCGGTACGTCAGCAAACGGCAAACGCGCGCACGTCAGGCTCACGTTAGCTGCGCTCGGACCTGCGTGTCAGCGAGCAGACTAAAGTGACTCATGTGTTCCTGTTGATAAACTTCCAGCTTTCCCAGCTTCAGTTATTCCATAATGAAGGTTTGTTGATGTAGTCGTTCCTGAATCCGACGTCTGCAGGGGAGCCAGGATCTGAGTATTTACTTAACATTCCCGGCCCGCAGCTCAGCTTCCATCCATGAACTTTAGTTCAGTCAAAGGTCAGAGTGCACGCGCTGCAGGGTCACCATGATGACGCGCGCGTTAATCATCCAACACTTACACAGATTTGTTCCAGCTCGTTAATGAAAGCCAAACGCGTCACGTTGTTCAGCTTCAATGTCGATCATCGACTTTAGAAGCTCGTTAAAGGATCTCACGGCTTGTCTTCTTCTCCTTACACGAGCAGCTTCGTTCCCGATGACGTGAAGTTTGACGAGGAGCCCAAAGACGCGGCGACGGACGTAAACCTGTCGGCCTACACGCCCAAGCTCTTCACCTCGTCTGCGACCGCCACCTCGAAGGTAAGCGCTTCCCCGACACTCGCCATCAGAGGCGACAGGAAGAGTGTTGGCAGACTTTACAGGTGTGATGATGTCAGGCGGGTTCACCTGTGCGAATGAAGTTTGTTACTCAGAGCTGACGTCAGGGCAGGAGCTCCGTGCAGCAGGCGGTGACGCGTTTGTGTCGACCCGATCAGGTGCAGCTGACGTGGGATGAAACCGATCACGAGCGCGTGACGGCCCTAAACAGGAAGTTCAACAAAGACGAGCTGCTGGACATGGACTTCAGAGCCTACCTGGCCTCCTCCAGCGAAGAGGAGGAGGAAGGTGGTGGTGACGGAGCCTTTGAAGAGGACGTGAAGACGGCGGCAGGTGAGAAACGCGAGAACGTGACGGTTTTCTGAGTGCTGAAATGTGAAAGCGGCGCCGAGCAGGTGTGCTGTGTTTGTGCCGCACAGACGAGCGCGGCGTGGAGGCGCAGGAGAAGAAGAAGAAGAGCGAGGAGCAGATCTCCAAGTACAGAGAGCTGCTGAAAGGCATCCAGGAGAAAGAGAAGAAGGTGCAGGAGGACAAAGACATGGAGATGGAGGTCACCTGGGTGCCAGGTACGAGCACGCAGCCTCACTTCCTGCTTTCTTAACACGAGGAGAGGTCGGGCCTGAAGGCGGGGCTTGTTTTAAAAGTGTTTTTCTCCACGCCGCAGGCCTGAAGGAGACGACGGAGCAGCTGGTGAAGAAGAAGCTGGAGGCCAAAGACGTGCTGACACCCTGGGAGGAGTTCCTGCAGAAGAAGAGAGAGAAGAAGAAGCAGAAGAAGTGTGAGAGTAAACAGGTGAGGGCGTGGCTTGCAGA